AAGAATGCAGTCTGCACAGTCAACTCAGGAGAAGGAGTCCCGAGCTGAAGAAACTCGAGAAGCTGCCATATCTGCCTGAAGAAACAAGCAGAGAAGAATGCAGCATGCTCAGTCAACTCGGCGGAAAGAGTCTGAGATGAAGAACTCGAGAAAGCTGCCATATCTGCCTGAAAGAAACAAGCAGAGAAGAATGCAGCATGCTCAGTCAACTCGGCGGAAAGAGTCTGAGATGAAGAACTCGAGAAGATGCCACATCTGCCTGAGGAACAGATAAAGGAAATGAAGATGATACCTTGAAGCATGTGGAGACAAGTGCAACCAAGCACGTGCCGATTCATCCGCTACTTCTTCAAAAGCAAGAGTATCTCATATCATCAAAGTTGCAATCACTCTGACGGTGAATTCGTTTTGACCCTCAAATTCTTGGGTCGACTTACTAGGCGTTGTAGGCTGCACGTGCCGATTCACCACCCTTGAATCAAATCCTTAAAGATCAAGTCACCAACTGGAAGAAAAGCCCATCAATCTTGAAGATCATACCGTTGACCAAAACTGCTCAGGTGTGAATTAGAAAGATTGAACAGAGCAACAAGTCGTCACCTTCACCTAGTGCCTGCTTGTCATGTGTTCAAGTCAACCTTCAAGGATCAAGCCCTAACGGCCCTTGAAGAAGTTTCCAACCAAATTCAAGATCAAGCCTCGACGGCCCTTGAGGAAATCACAAGTCCGATTCAAGATTAAGTGTCTACCACCCTTGAATCAAAAAACCTAGTTCAAGAATAAGCTGTGGAAAATCAACAATTGGAGGAATCCAGAAAATCCTCCAACCCAGTTCAAGATCAAAGCTGTGGAAAGTCAACAAGCGCAACAAAATACGTACCGATTCATCCATTACCAAAGCCAAAGATCATCTACCACATGAAGCTCCTTGTGGCCCAATTTCAACCTTCAAGATCAAGCCCTCGACGGCCCTTGAAGAAATTTCAAACAAAAGTTCAAGAACAAGCCTCAACGGCCCTTGAAGAAATCTCAAGCCCAATTCAAGATCAAGCCTCAACGGCCCTTGAAACAATCTCCAGCCCAATTCAAGATCAAGCCTCGATGGCCCTTGGATCGACATCTACAGTAAGGGACTTCAAAAAACGCATCTCCTACACGTGACAAGCACATGTATAACGACGTGCCTTGAAGTGGGGGCATTTGTAGACATCGAAATTTCGTAAATAAATGTTGACCGGTAAATCAAAGTGTCAACGCTCATGTATTACATAAATTTTACACGTAGCGTGTGACTCAACGAAAATTGAAATGAGTTGGAAAAGTCATCAAATAGGACACGTGTCAACACCTGGCAGAAACGACTTATTTCATCTGGGATATTATATTCAAAATTAGGCCTTGGAAAATTTCTATAAATACAAGCCTATTTCATTCATTTTAAAGAAAACCAATTCACATTACACCTTAAAGCTCGGAAGCTCTGAAGCTCTGAAACTCCGAAGCTTTCAAGCATCCAGGTTTCCGAAGAATCAAGAAAGCCTTCTTCGTTCTTCGTTCATCGTTCTTCCAAGATCAAGCCCCGACGGCCCTTGGATCAACAATCATCCACCTTCAAGCCCAAGCCTCAACAGCCCCTTGGAGAAAGTGTTCATCGTTCATCAACTGTTCATCCTCAAGGATCAAGCCCCAACGGCCCCCTTTGGATTGACAACATCAACGAATCCGCTCATCTCTGTTCATCAAGTCCAAGCCTCGACGGCCCTTGAAGAAAGCGTTCATCGTTCATCACCGTTCTTCGAGATCAAGCCCAAAAGCCCTCGAAGATCCGTTCAAGCCCAAAAGCTCTCGAAGATCCGTTCGTCACTGTTCTTCGAGTTCAAGCCCAAAAGCCCTCGGAAATCCATTCATCAACTGTTCATCCTCAAGGATCAAGCCCCAACGGCCCCTTTGGATTGACAACATCAACGAATCCGCTCATCTCTGTTCATCAAGTCCAAGCCTCGACGGCCCTTGAAGAAAGCGTTCATCGTTCATCACCGTTCTTCGAGATCAAGCCCAAAAGCCCTCGAAGATCCGTTCAAGCCCAAAAGCTCTCGAAGATCCGTTCGTCACTGTTCTTCGAGTTCAAGCCCAAAAGCCCTCGGAAATCCATTCATCACTGTTCTTCAAGATCAAGCCCAAAAGCCTTTGAAGATCCGTCAATCACCATTCTTCAAGATCAAGCCCAAAAGCCCTTGAAGATCCGTTCATCCTCGTTCATCCAAGATCAAGCCTCGACGGCCCTTGGATCAATCGCACATCCCACAAATCAACACCTTACGGAGATCGAATCAGAGGATCAAAATAGAGAGAGATTGTAACCCAAAACTATCAAATACAAATATTTGTTTGTGCACGTTGTTCTTGTCTCTTTCGTTTCAGGAATTTTCCGTGTTCACAAATTTTGAAGATCCGTCAATCACCATTCTTCAAGATCAAGCCCAAAAGCCCTTGAAGATCCGTTCATCCTCGTTCATCCAAGATCAAGCCTCGACGGCCCTTGGATCAATCGCACATCCCACAAATCAACACCTTACGGAGATCGAATCAGAGGATCAAAATAGAGAGAGATTGTAACCCAAAACTATCAAATACAAATATTTGTTTGTGCACGTTGTTCTTGTCTCTTTCGTTTCAGGAATTTTCCGTGTTCACAGTTACAATTTACAACAGATTTGCTCACGCATGAAGTGAAGGTCATACATGATTCACGTCATCCAATGTATATTGTTCACCGATTAAGTTTGAATTTCGTTATACATAAAAAGGTGTGTGAGAATGTGATGAAAGATCGCATACCGGGAAAGATTGAAGGATTATATGAAGTGGAGATGAAGCTTCATCGTCCTTCAAAATGTGCTAGGAGCGTTTTATCCATACTTTTATTTAAAATTAAAGAAATTTAAATTCAAAAACCCACTGTCCAACATCCAAATAGAGTCCCAGGGCCTCCACTATATGCCTTCATGCCGTCCTTTTTTTAAGAAAATTAATGAAAATAGACTGAAAACTTTGAGTTTTAACGATAAGGACAAAATAAAGGGTAAAGTGAATAATACTAAGATTGACTTTTTAGTGTAAAAATATAGTTTTTCGTTAAAATGAACAGTATTTGAAGCTTTTCATTAAAGTTTCATTTTCATTTTCTTTTTTTTCTTAAACATTACAAACAAAAACAACAACGCTAATTGGGTACATTACTCCAGGAAATTATCTAAAGTGAACATACTCAAATAAACAACTTGAGTAAACCTCAACACGACTATCACAAACTTAACGAAAATAAATTTGTCACATAAATGATTGACGCAATAAATTCGTATCTACGATTATAGCTAGTCTATCGCCGAATAAAGAGGCCATACAAAGAAAGATTACATAAAGTCATCATAGAGATACTAGACCCACTATCATCGTCGCTCAAGTGCGAAGGCCATATTTTAACCATTGGAATATGGCGACAACATTCGGGTTGTGTGGGGTCGGGTGCATAAACGATTATGTGATGGAGATGTATTTGTATTTTGGTAAGTAGATGGTGTTCAACAAGACAACGTCGAATGCTTTTGTGGTGTGAGAGAAATTTTTAGTTATGACGGGAACATAAATGGTATACTTCGTATTTTAATAAGAGTGGTGAAAATTTTTATTTTTTAAATTATTATTTTTTTAGCACACATATCTCATCATTTGCATAATAACACGTGGTGTACAATTTCGTATACCGGTCACACTGAAAAATCTCTCATGGTGTGGACCATGCAAAGGTGGGACATTGGTGAAACATAAACTTAGGGATAAGGATTGTCTGCCCTCCCATTTCTGGTGCCATCTTGTGCCCTTCTGTTTGTGTGATCACGGTTAAGCCACGTCAACATTTTATATTACTATTTATTTTTGTCTTATTATCTCTATGAAAAAATAATATAAAATATTAACATGACTTAAACGTGACCACACAAAACAGAAGGGCACGAAAAGGCATCGGAAATGTGAGGACAGACAATCCTTGTCCTAAACTTAGACCAAAACTTAGACCAATAGCCTGGTCCGATGCAACTTGTCCACATGTAGCATGGGTCCTACATTTGTTCCCTCTCGCCACTTGGCACCACAAAGAAATTGGTATTCTGTTAAAAGCCAATATTATATATTTATTTAGAGATTCACACATCCTTATTAATTTTTATCCGTTGATCTTCTTCAATTTATCTGATCTGACGGCCGAAAACTAAAAATGTGTGGGAGAAATAAAAATAGATGTGTGAATATCACAGCCTTTTATTTATTATAATATAATGCTAATACTTTAATTCCACGAGTGTTTTGAAGTTGAAAACTTCAACTTGGCAAACGTGTATTTTCTCCCTTCGACAAGTGACAACCGAGCAAGAAAACGACCGCATCTTACATATGATGTGTGTGTACGCCACATAAAATATTTGCGTTGGTTTTTCCAATTGAAAACACTATATATTGAATTGCCAAACTTAGAAAATCACTAAACCACATTTAACCCAAATTATTGCTCATGTGTGTCTATTCTGGTTGACGTGAACCTAGCTCAATCGGCTTGAGTAGTGCGTATCATGCTCTTCCTTATAGGTTAAATATTTACGACATAGAGATCAGATGTCGACGTCATACTAAACATTGACAATTTCAATTAATAATTCGAGATTTTAAAATTTAATTTTTTGAGATATTTTCTCTAATTAAATCATTCAAGAAATCTTTGAGAGGGTGTTGGCATAAGCCCAATTGAAATTCTTACAACGCACAAGCCCTCAAGCCCTCAAGTCCAAAACAATGCAACAAAGTCTATATGCCCAATGAGAAATCCTGCAGAAATGCAGTGCCTTCTTAACTCATTTACCATCTAACAATCCACTATGATGCACATCTGAGCGCTAGACGGTGAATATATTAAGTAAATGCATGTGTACCGTTGCCGGTCCCGAAAAACAAAGGCGTTTTTGAAACCTTTTTCCTCATAAGAAAGATTCAAACAAGGCATACAAAATTATAACATTTACACATTTTGCTCCTTCCCTTTTAGGATCATCCTACAATACATACAAAGTGGGATATGGAGGTTTGCATTACTATACATGTACGTGGATACCGAATCAGAGTTAAAAATTTGGTTAGAAATGAGTCCTCGAACCTGCATTCAAGCCATTAAGAATCATCATAGTTCTAGGACCAACTCTCAGCGTTCTCTCTGGGAATATCACAAAATTGCTTGTAACATCCGACCAACGAAGATGTCTGCAGGTTTTGGGTTTGATAGTTCTTGTTACGAGTCTGAGGCTGGTTTAAGTTTTGAAGAACTTGGCCACTGCTTGATAGAGATTCTCTTCCTCGAAGGGCTTTGAGACGTATCCATCCATCCCACACTTTAGGCACTCATCATAGGTGGCATGAATAACGTCCGCTGTCATAGCTAACACAGGCAAATGCCAGTCACCCTTTGTTGTTAGTCCTTCAAATCCTCCATTCATCTCAACATTTGCCTTGCTCTCCATCTGCCGGATTCTGCGAGTTGCCTCAAACCTGCAATCAAAAGTCCCATTTATAAATTACAATTCCAATTTGGTCAAGCACAATGGCTAGCAAATGCGTTTCTCACTTTCTAAGAAAGAGTTTGAGAGATTTTTGCCAAAAAAAATATAACGAACGGGAAAGCATCAAAATAAGGGCATTTTGAATCTAGAATGTAATAACTGAAACACCGAAACATACCCATCCATTTCAGGCATTTGAATATCCATGAAGCAAGCATCAAAATTGTGCGGTAATTGAAGCAACGCCAATGCAGCTTTGCCACTATCAACACACTCTACATTAGCTCCAAACTTCTTTAGTGCACCTGCAGCAACTCTCCTGTTTACCAAATTGTCATCAACCACCAAAATTTTCTTCCCACAGAGCAGACTTTGGAGAACGTTAGATCCATTCGGCACCACTCTCCCTGGTTGCCTCTTCTTTCCTATGCCCAGGACCTCTTGAAGACACGCAGCCACCATACTAGCCCTCAAAGGTTTCATGATTACAGTATCCGCAAAACCTGCTGCCCTTACATTATCAGATTCAGCTTGACTAAGATTTTTGGTTGCAAGAAGAATCATTTTTGGCAGCTTAAATGCATGATCGTTCTGTTTCCAATCCAATTTCTGCGCATTAAGATCATGTTCTTCACCAGAAATCCATGAATCCTTCTCAACTAGAACTATATCTGGCTGGATACTATTCCTGTCATATATAACGAAGTAGTTCAATTCAGCTAACACATCCTACTTATTTCTAAGTCTACCCTTTTTTTGGTTTTCCAGTCTACCTTTTTCATTGGCAGTTAATAAAGATAACATTGAATCGTCATATTGTTTTAGTTTTAGTGCAGTAAATATTGAACCCCTTAAAAACTTTAAAGACATAGCAAGAGTAAACGTACCCGGATGCCACAGAACCATTTCTTCCACATGAAGCAACGGCCATCTTGATGCTGCTCGCAACTTCCACAAGGATTCCAAGTCTCTTCAAGTGGTATTTGGTTACAGCAGCTCTCACAAGTTTTCTATCAACTACTATTGCTCGCAATCCTCTCAAACTAGAAGGTAGATCCTCAGGATTAGGTTTTTTCATGTCACTAAATGCATTTTTCTTGCACCTCCTAAAATTAGCGGTGAAAGAAAATGTACTCCCAATGTGTGGTCGACTTACGAATTTTATCTGACCACCCATCAGTTCAACCAGACACTTACTGATGCTCAAGCCAATACCAGTTCCTCCATAATGTCTAGAAGTTGAACTGTCTGCCTGCATGAAGGGCATAAAAACACATTCCTGCGCACCTAATGGTATACCAATCCCTGTATCCTCCACAGAAACCATCAACGTGACCTTCTCAGAAGCTTCATCAACATCAGCTCTGTATTCTTCATCAGACACCAGATGCTTAAACGTATCCCAACTATTCCAGTCATTAGCTGCTTCACACCCACTTAAAGTTTTAAATTGATGGCCATCGGATGTCAGCACACCTTCATCTGGTCCTCCGTTCAAGTAAGTCTCTGACTTCCTATTTATCATCACCTTTGAGGGCTCAGCTAGATGGACTTTGACAAATATATGTCCTCGTTCAGTGAACTGCCAAATGTATAGCTCAAACATAAGTTTTCTATGATCACTAACCTGAGCAGGACAAACCGAAGATTTTATTAAATCCTATTACTGCCTGTTGCTAATAAAGAATGAAAACTTCCACTTACTTTAATAGAGTTACCCACTAGATTTGTAATTATCTGTCTGAATCTCCCTGGATCTCCCATAAAAATTTCTGGGACTTTATCGGAAACAAATACTGCCAGCTTCACATCCCAAATATAAATCGGAATTAGGAGATTTGCAGATGTAACATGATATTATTAGTTATGACAGTTCAAATTTCACAATTTAAGAAGTATCACCATCACCACCACACAATTTAAGAACTACAAAAACATTGCAGTAACTGTGAGCTGAAGGCATTGAGGCTTACCTCTATACCCTTATTTCTAGTTTTTTCAGAAAATAAAGATAGGACATCATCTAGTATCGACCGAATGCCAAATGGAACTTCTTCCAGCTCTAACTTGCCAGCGTCTATCTTCGCACGGTCAAGCACCTCATTAATTAATGTTATCAATGCCTTTCCACAAGCTTGAGCAGTTCGAGCATAATCCATCTGGGTCGAACTTAAAGCTGTATCTAAAAGCAAGGCAAGCATTCCTGCAATCATGGAAAAATAAAGATTGTACCTCTTACAAGAGTGCATTTTCGGACTGATATATAATGTTATTCTGAAAATAAAATCTTAAAAACAGGGAGATCTGTTAGCATACCTAGGATTCCATTCATGGGCGTTCTTATTTCATGAGAAACAGTAGCAAGAAACTGGCACAAAAAAAGAAGGCAACATATCAAAAAAACATGCCATTGAGGAATGAGCAATGTTGGGAATGTTGAAAACAGTACCTGGGACTTGGCAACATCAGCAGCTTCTGCTCGAACTTTTAGTTCCTCCATTTCACGGAAATCATCCTCAACTTTAACAATGTGCATTGCTGCTCCATATAAGATATAGCCAACCAAAAAACCAATCACAAAGAACAAGAATGCAGTGTTAACCGCTGTCCATGACATAGGTGCCGTCTGATGATATCTGCTCAAGAAACCAATTATGTGTTTTAGCACGACATAACCACTCAATTATTCCATCTATCATTAGTTATTGAATGGTTGCCCTTACCTACATATCATCTGATGCCTTCGGAATGGATCTCCAAAATCCAGCTTGCTTTCATGCAGAAGAGATGTGTCACCATCTTGATATTGGTGACCATACATGATTAGGGGATCAGAAGTGTTTGTAACATCATACACATAAACCTGAATGGCTTGATTCCCAGCAAGTTGTCCAAGCAAATTCTCCACCAGGGACTCAACATCAAAGGCACCACCAAGGTACCTGCATTTTATACAGAATCAAATGCACCATCCCATAGGTTGCCAACTTCTGTGGCGGATGCACATGGAACCGGCGAAAGTATATGCAGGTAACAATAACAGCATGCAAAAAGCATCTGAAGAGGGTTTTCATAGTTCTATAGTTGTATGCCGACTTACCCAACAGCCGCCTGAATGCGCTGCTCCACAGTTGGGTTTGCAGGGAGCTTCGATTTGTAAACAGGGAAAGTCAATACAACACCAAGATGATGAGAACCCAGCAGCCTAAATGGACTTGTCAGAACAGCTTTTCCAGTAGCTCTGGCCCTCAAAATGTTTTCTCTGTCCTCCTGCATCATGTAGTGGAAGAATTAAAGGTTAAATGAAACGCCTAACGAATGCTCCAATTAATGCCATAGAGTTCAACAAGATAGACAAAGTGAAAGTAAACAATCCTTTTGTTACCTCCCCAGACATCATATCAAGTGACTCAATGTAAGAGACGGTTTCCTGCGAAAAAATTACAGGCGCATACTCATCTCGGATGGGCGATGGTTCCCTCTCCATTGTCTTTATTGTCCAACCATGTAGGTTTTCGAACTTTTCCCTATCCGAATCAAGCACTCTTTGTGCATAGGCCACCCCACTTAAAAGAGGCCTCTCGAAGGCGGTTCTGGCAGTGTATTCAGCAAACGTTTCCTGCATTTTCCCCAAAAAACAAAACCCAAATCACAAACTAGCAGTACCACATTCAATCATCATAAAAATTGAGAAACTACTTGTCTTATAGCAACCAAATTGTACAATTAGTCAAAGATATCATAGCAAAAAAAGGGTTTTGATCAAAATTAAAGAACAAAACATACCTGATCAATTGCTGAAGGGTTCTTGTAGTAATGGAAGGTGGAAACAAGGATTGCAAGGGCATGCACATGATTAACACTAACACTGAACTGATCCTGCAGCATTCTTGCCCTCTGATCACACATACTACCAAGAAGTTCTACCCTTCTCACTTTGTTATCAGCATCCATGTATCTGTAGGTTAACCAGCCCAAGAGAATCATCACACCAACCCAAAGAAGGAAAAGTTTTGGGAACCAAGCCCTGTGAGCCTGCACAAAGGTGTAGCCTTTTTTGGCCCCCATTTGCTCATTCAACCTCACAGCCACCGAGTGGTGGCTCTTCATCTTCATCGTCCCAGCCATCAGCATTAAACCAATTTCTTTGATTTTCCTTCTTGTTTCCTCTTTACCCATCTCATATCTAATCTGAAACAAAGGAACCCACTTTCTTAAAAGTGCTTATTTTTCACTTTTTTTCCGAAAGCATAAGCAAAATATGAGCAAATATATATCTCCTCCGTGGAGTGTGGACTTTCTTCTCTCCTCTCTCACTGAAACCCCATTGTACTATTGTAAAAGGTAGAGAGAGAGAGAGAGAGACCCAGAGCTCGAAAAGAAGAATTATTTCTCAATTCACAGGCACAGCATGGTTCTCAAAAGATGGGGAAATGAAAACAAAGCTCAAATTCCAAAGTAGTCTTTGTATTTCTCTCTCCTCACTCTCTCTCCCCCTAGAAAATGGTCAGTCTCAGGCTGTCAATGCTAAACAAATTTTTTCAAGGAATAAAAAAACACAGAGAGCTCCAATCATGCCATCTCAAAGCGTGAAGCTTAGTTAGAGGCATCCAGACAAAGAAGAAGCACGTTCACTGTTTTGCCTCCATATAATAATAAAAAACACACACAGCTAAGCTCAGCACACAACACAGAAATGCACACCAACGAGAGTTTCAGAGAGAGAAAGATGGAGAGTTGTAGAGAGAGAAACAAAAGAACTAAAGAAACGGGGTTGCTGAAAGAAACGATCTTTACCTCTACAATTATACAAAGATGGTGGTGGATTGATGCAGAGTACAATGAATGTACAAAGATGAGGACCTTTTTTCTTTATTTATGATGGTTTTTTTTTATTTAATCTAAAATGTCTCGATATTTTTTATTTTAACAAAAAAATTATATTTTTATATTAAAAAATTAATTTCAATATTATTTATTTAATTCTTTATTTTACTTTTATCGTTAAAATTTAAAATTTTCAAATTACTTTTATTATTATTATTTTTTTCAGTATGAAATAGTAGTTTTGATGACTTTTTATACTGTTTTTTAAAGCAAGCAAACTGAATCGAATTTTTTGGATTTTCAGAGATACGCTCCTGTCTCCCTTTCTCTACCATCCCACTTTATAAACTAATTTCTCTCTCTCTCTCTCTCTCTCTCTCTCCCCCTCTCCTCTGTCTAGTTCCTTATAATATTGCATTTTGCACTACTCTCTCTCCCTCTCTCTTCCCTACTTTCTCTCTCTCTGTTGATTGCTTTGCTAATTTTTTTTGAAAAGTTTGAATTCAACTGAAAAATTATCAGGGGTCTGATGATCCTGACCCTTTAGAAAGGAAACACCCCAAATGCGTTTTACCTTTTATTTGGTGCTCTCTCAAAGGAAGCATAATTGCCCATTTAAACATCAGAACCAATCTGATATGATGCCTGCCTTTTCTAGTTTTCTTTTAATTTCTTGTGTTAGTTTTAAATCGTCCTATAAATATTTGGACATCTTAATTACTACTAGATGTGTTTCTCAAAGAGTGATTTCCACAGTCTTTTTTATTTATTTACTTGCCCGTAATATTGTTTATTTTTAACATTTAAATTGAATAAATTAAAAAAAAATCAGATGATGGAAATAAACGGAGATGCTGATCACGAAAGAAATACACAAAAATCATTACCCGAGTTATGTTTTCCCTTTTCAATTAAATCAGTCATAATTTTCTTCAGCTTGGTCAGTTTTGTTATTCTTTCCAGACGTGTGCGATGTGTTTTGGAATTAATCCAACCAATTGGGCCGATGGGAGGCAGATTCTCTGCCCTTGCCACTTCCTGTGTCTTTGTGCCTTCCTGTCTTGTCTTGTGTGATCACAGTTAAACCACGTTAATATTTTATATATATTTATTTATAAAAATAATAAGACAAAAATAAAATAGTAATATAAAATATTTACGCCACTTAACAGTGATCACACAAATAAAATAGCACAGGAAGACACAGAAAATGAGAGGACAGATAATCTGCCTCTGAGAGGATGGAAGTCGAAAAATCGCAATCACAAATCTTTGGGAAAATGACATGGCGGCAAGCCCCGGATCTCATTCCCTCTAAATTACATAAAACCCCGAACTTCTAGACTGAATTCCGAAAATACCCCACCGGTTTGAGGCAGATTTGGTTTGGATAGTAAATTTGGCCGGCGGGTACGAGAGAATATGAGCATCCATCCCGTTAGAGCACCTCCAACAATACTCGCTAAATAATTCAAATGTTAATTTAGCTAATTGATTCAATTGTTAATTTAGCTATCCACCACTTTCAAGGTTAATTCATTACGGTCCCCTCACGGAGGATGGCAAATTGGCAACATCCTGTTTTTGTTCGTAAAGTTACGATAGCTAGTCATTTAGCTAGAGTGTTGAATTTTGATTTTGCTACATTTTTTTGTTAAATTAGCCAACCAACCTCATTTCGCTAGGTTGTTGGAGATGCTCTAACCGTTTCTAAATTCAACTTGTTTTATATTGTCTAATATATTATAAAATTTTCTATTCAAACAAAAAGTATACAATAAAATTAAAAAAAAAAAAAAGTGCAAGGTGATTTTTTGGAGTTTTAAAAATAATTTTTCTAAATTTATATTTTTAAATAATATTTTATTTTCTCAAGTCATAGTTTTCTTCAAGATCATAATTGTAAGTTTTGGAAGTAAAAAAAAATTTGTAAGTTTTGGAGATGAATGTTTTGTTACTAGATTAAGTTGTTAATTGATATGAGAATTGTTTTTGGAAAATAAAAACACACGTTTCTGATTGAAATAGTACTTTGTCGATGCTGGTTTGTTTAAAAAGGGATATCTTTTGATGGAATAAGGGGAAGATTGCATGGGGACCCTTTTCATATACACTTATATTCTATGTTTGAAATATTTTAAGACGAGAGGTGGTGGCTTGCTTTGTCCTCTAGCAATCGTCAATGGCTATTACTATTAAGTGTGAAACTCAGTTAAATTTGAGACTTCTTATTTACAAATAATGTTAATAATGTGTGAAAAATATAGTTAAGTAAGTTAATAAAGGCTTTAGAGTTGAAAGTAACATTCATAACATGAATGTATTGTCGTTGTAACGTCTCATACTTGTAATATAATAATAATTAAAATAAAATTTATAAATTATTAACATAAAACGTCACGATACATGTGCTCGCTTGTACTTTGAGGCCATCATCTATCTATATTTTTCTGCCACTCATAGTGTGTGTGTATGTCGGCCATGTCATGTGGTCTGGTGGTGAAGGTGAAGCCCATACCCATCACTTTCTATCCCAAACAAAACATTCTAATTTTCCTTCTTTCTTTGTTCAACTAAATAATCATATCGTGTCCCTCCCTCCCCACTCCTGAGTCCTGCCAATGCCATGCATGCCATGCCATCCCCGTCCCTCACCCTCCCAAGGCCAGGCCAGTCCAGTCCTGTCCAGGTGCTTCTTCTTCTTTATGGTGGACTCTGAGTGCTCCTTTTTCTTGGCTTTCCTCTCTCTCTAGGCTCTATCCATCTACCTCGCCTGATTCTCGATCTAGGTAGATAATCGACCTGATAAAAGCATCTCATTTCCATTTGCATTTGTATCCCAATGGGACTCGAGTCCCATGCCATGGCTTGCATGCTGCAGCTAGCACTAACAAGTACTGGTACCGTACGCAGTAGTGGAGTACTACTTCTGCCTTCTGCATGTCTTGTTGTACGTGGTGCCCTGAATTTGGTTTCACTGAGCCATTTGATGCTTTCATTTCAGGTCCCCAGCTAGCTAGCTACAAGCCTACCAGATGCATTATGTTTCGTATAAAAAGTTAAAGAGTATGAGATTCGAGTGTTTTAACCGTTAGATCTTGATCTTTGTATTTTTCAACCAAGTGAAAATCCATGTTTCATATTGCCCATGATTTGCTAGGATGACCAAGAAAGTTAAGAAAAAAGGAATTGTATATGCAAGTAAACTAGTTAAACTTACTTCTAAATCATTTTTCGCAAATAAAATTTAATTTTGTGAATTGTAGGTAGCCTTGAGCGTCTGAATGATTTTGCTGATTGTGCAAGGATGATACATATGTTGGTTATATGTCAACAATCTGTGATTTAATTATATATATGCTAATAAACAATAAATGCGAATATATAAATTATTGAACATAGTATGAACAACGAAATAAATTTAAACAGAAAAATTGAAGATCGAGGCTTGCGTACCGTAATGTCCTTGAAACATAAAATTTCGTCCCTACTCAGTGCTTGTAGTTCTACCGACGTCTGCTTCACCAAGATTCAACGATCAAGTTAGAATTTCAGCACCGGAAAACTTAACTTCTGGCGAATTTCTGTGTGGTTCTCTCAAAAATGATGTTTGTGATTGTAAAAGAAGGATGCCTGTTAGATGGGTGCTTTGGTCTGTGTTCTTTCTGAACTCTTCAGACTTCATCTGAAAGGATGAGTCTGTTGGTAAAAAATTAAAAATTAATTAAATTCATAATTAATTAAAAATAATTAATTAAATCCAAAAATAATTAATTAAATAATTTAATTATTAGAGCTCGAGCCCAAGAGCCCATATTAATTATATATATTTTTTAATTATAATTAATTACCAATTAATTATTGCACCCCAAAGCTCAATCCCAAGGGTGATCCAAATTTTATTCTCCAGACCTATTACTCCAATCACTTTTTATAAAGGACAAAGCCGTATAAAGTGATAAAATCTTTTGGAAATAACCAATGTGGGACAAAGAAATTTCTACTCAAACTACTCAAATTTCCAATAACATATTTATAGGGACTTCGATATTGATTTAGTATAACAATATTCGCTTGATTTCCCTAGCTAATTTTTCAATTTAAATAGAAATGATTTCTAAATGTTAATACTGATGGGCGCTGCACAAAATCTGGCAAAGATTTAGTGCTTCAAAGGTTCATTGCATTTGCGACTCCTGCACACCAATATATTTAAAGGAAAAATTAGTATCCGGTCCCTAGTTCTTACTGTTCATTGACTAAGACCTTATTAGTTTTCAAATTTTGATTCAAGTCCCTAGCATTAATGTGATAATGAATTTACATGTTTATTATATAATTTTTTAATATAAAAATTAGTAATTAATTTAGGGTTTAATACTCACACCTCTATTAAACTTCTAATTAATTTTCAATTCAAACATTTCTAAAATAATAAAAAAATTAAATTAAATTAAGTTTGTACCTATTAGTTTTTTTTATATATAAAAAGATTCTCAATTTTTTAATCTTAAATGTACCCATTCATATAATTTTTAAATTTTTTTAATCTTAAATGTACCCATTCTCAAATATATCAAAAATTTGTTATATGTAAAATGTACCCTTTTTTAATATAAAATCCTTTCAAATTTTTTAATCCATGTTTAAACTTATATGGGTACATTCTTTTTCGTTGATTTGAGAATGTATCCATGTTTTGGTACAATAACTTTTTTTGTTAATTTTGGTTAATGTACCCATACATATATGTACACACACACACACAACAATATAATAGAGAGTATAATTTATATTTTATTATTTTTAATCCCATAAATTATGGGTTTTATTTAAAATCTCATTAATATAAACAATTACAAATTTCAATTTTTAATTTTTAATTTTAAAAATATAGTAACTTACATTATTACATTAATGTCAGGGACCTCAATCAAAAACTAAAAACTAACAAGGTTTCAATCAAAGAATATTGATAGCTAAGGACCGCATCCAAAGTGTCCCATATTTAAATCCTTAAACCCCGGATTTGCATGTGCAATGATA